TTTATCAATAATACTTTGAAAAGAAAAAAAAAGATCAAAAAAAAAAAAAAACCCTTCACAAAATCAGCAGACTACCTAAAACACAACTTATAATAAAAGCTCTCCCCTACCAGTTGTGGTGACACACACTTGTAGTCTCAAAATTCTTAAGGATGAGGAAGGAAGATCACCATAAGTTCAAGATTGAGAGCAGCCTGGGCTACATAGTGAGTTCCAGACCTGCCTCAACTACATAGGGAATACCTTGTTTCAAAAAAAAAAAAAAAAAAACTCTCACTCAATTTTAAGAGATTTGTAAAATATTCATTTATACTGAAATAAAATATATTAATACATATAATCTTTTTAATCATTTTCTTGTTTTAGTATAACCAAAGACAGCTTATTTGGGAAGAAAAGATGGAAAAGAAAGGATAGACAGCTACTGTGAGGCAATGGGGGGCTTCAGAGCTGAAACCCTCTTGAATAATTTTCTACTTTAATTTTTTTGATTCATGGGCCCTGAAATATCTTTTCCCCAAAAAAGCTATCTTTATATAGTTAGATTAAAAAAAATTGTATGGAATGTGTATATGACCAGATTCTAAAACCATCTTGGTCTGAAGTAAAGGAAGTCTGCAGTTGCTTAAAAGTCAAACTGTAATACCTGGCATTAACATCTTGAAATATTTGTCCCCTAAAAGGGTACTGCTTTTATCCATTTGACCTCAATACTTGGTATGAAATATTTAGCCAGACAAGCACTGTCTGGAACCCTCAGCGGGGGGAGGGCTCTGCGCAATCCCTTTACTTAAACTCAAAGGACTCATTTGCAAGTCTAAATGGAGTATTTCAGGATAAGGAAACCAGCAATAGTGTTGGATAAGAAGGCTTTTTGCTCATGTTCAGTTTACTTAATGACTCAGGAACAATCATAAGTATATTGAGCCAAAATGAATGTAAGTGACCAATGTTTCTCTGACTTCTAACATTCATTTTACAACCTGGAGCACCTCCAATGGGTTCCTTTTGTTCTTCCTTTGAATTTATACAGAAGTCTATTGGTGACAGCCACATCAATTACCTGATTTCCATATACAATCATCTTTCCTCCACTGCATGAACCATGTAATTGCTAAGACACCAAAATATTGTACATGTATTCACTGGTCTTGATGGTCATGTCTCTAACTCCAGCACTAGGGAGGCTGAGGCAAGAGGATGGCCTCAAGTTTGAGGCCAACCTGAGCTATACAGTGAGTTCAAGTCAAGCCTGAGCTACACAGTGAGACCTCATCTCAAACAAAACAAAAACAAATAAATAAAAATCAAAATGTATGTATTCATGCATCATTTAATAATTATTTTCCATCTAATATATGCCAGGCTCTGTTCTCAGCCAAAACAGATAAAAATCCCTGGCCTTATAGAGTCCGGAGGACAGGAGGAGAATGAGGAAAGAAGGAAGGGAAGCAGAGGGAAAGCCAGAGGGAGAGGAGGACATGATGCATGAGGAGGGTTTTTGTTTTGTTTTCTTCTATGTATTTGGTACAGGGTCTCACTACACAGATCAGACTCATAGTGATCCTCCTGTTTTCAGCACTGGTCTTGGTGGCCAGCTCAGCATGTGGGGGGTGGGGTGGGAGGTGGGCAGCATATAATGCAGGGGATCAAACCCCGGTCCCTGCACTTGCCCAGGTAGGCGCTTAGTCCAATAAGCTATCTTGCCGACACACATAGCTATATTTTTAAATAAGGTGGCCTGGGAAAACTGCTCCAAGAAGATGATATTTAGGTCAGGATCCATGAGAGTTCATTTATTGTGTCAACTTGAGTTAATAAACACCCAACTAAACTGGATCCACGTACTGTAGTTATGACTATGGCGAGGACCTTTACTAAAGGCAGAAGGCCCTCCCTTGAGCAGCTTGCCCCGAATGGTACAAACAGCCAGCAAAAAGAAGGCTGCTTCTGTTTCTTCAGGGGAGCCACCATCTTCACCCTCACCCTGGAAATCCTCCCCTGGTCCAGTGCAGACCCTCCAGCCTCCTGATATGGATTTGCATAGGACATGACACTGGGCTCCAGCCTTCAACTGGATCCTTTGGAACTCTAGTGTGCTAGAACACTTTTGTGCTCTTCTACACCCGACTCTGTGGGTGGCTGCTATAAGCCACTCTTGTAAATTGTTGTGTATTTGCACATTGTGTACTTCATCTGTGACTCTCGTAGCAATGACTGACACAGGATCTATATGAGGAAAGTGATCCAGAAAAAGTATGGGGAAAGAGTCCATGCCGAGTGGAGTAACAGCACTGACAGGGAGGATCAGGAAAGCAGTTTCACTTATTCATAGAGTGACAACATATTTTACAAAAAGCCTGGCAGCTGGTAGCATGAGCTACATCAATAACACTGCAGGTATTTAAGATGTAATATTGCTCCCTTCTGCATTTTGTTTTACAATAAATACCTATCTGTCATGGCCATTAAATATTTTTTTCTATAAATCATGAGAGCATGCTCTAGTGAAAATGGCCGTGG